CCTTTTTTCCTTTTTTCCTTTTTTCCTTTTTTCCTTTTTTCCTTTTTTCCTTTTTTCCTTTTTTCCTTTTTTCCTTTTTTCCTTTTTTCCTTTTTTCCTTTTTTCCTTTTCCTTTTTTCCTTTTTTCCTTCTGGAAACACAATACAAATGAATACAGAACTGTTAGCTGAAAGAGAAAGGAGATGTCTCTTACAAAAAGATTCTTTCTCCAGCAGTCTGTCAGGCAGGCATTTAAACAAAACAAAAACACAATAGGGGTTAATAGATAAAATATTTTCCCTTCTTAATTGTTCAATTATTTTACTTTAATACTTCCACAAACAAATGCCTCTTCCCGGTAAACTCATGTATAAACTCAGGTAGACAAATTTTCCAGGGAATCCAGAAAATCCTTTTCTGCAATGGCAACTGGGAAAGCATCTTTATTTATGTAATGAAAAAACAGAAGAGAATATTTACCCTTAAAAAACTGTAGGTAATCCTTATAGTATTCCCTAAAGCATAATTTAAACTGGATTCTGAAAGTTTTGGAGAATCTTAGGAACTTTCTCAGCAATTAAAATGTTTCCCTCCCATTCACTTGAATGATACTAACAGGACTCACAGATACTGTAAAAAAGAAGATATATAAGTTTTGTCCATTCCTACTAATCATTCCACTTAAATGTTTATTCTTGAACTTTTGTTATTCCTCCTCTGACTGTTTTTGTGTTAGACACATCAGAATGCCTGAGTTTTGAACTTTAGAAAACCTTAGAGAAAGGGGACGGGTTAGAGAGAATGGAGACCCAAGGGTGAGAACTTACTTCAGTTCAATGAATGCAAGTGGGAAGTGAGAAAGCCTGAAGAAGACAGCAAGAGCTTACCTCTTTCAGCAGTTTCTCCAAGCCATGAACTCATCTGTGACATCACCATTATAATGTCACAGTTAAATGTGGAGTGTTTGAAGGATGAAGGCTAATTGTAGGAGATGTAGGAGGAAAGGCAGAATGTGGGGAAGTGCTGCTGTTTGTCTATTTATTCCTTGGAAGAAGAAATTAAGAATGTTATTTGTTCTAAGTATACATCAGATCCCCTAGTTGTTGCACTGTCGTTGCCTGTAAAAATGTGTGCAATTCCACAGCCCTGTTAAAATACAAAAAGGAATGTCCTTGCATATGTGCCCTGGGAGGTTATTAAGATTTCCTGTTTCCCCAGGGATGGGAATAAAATGGTCAACTTTACCTGAGACTAATGCAGTCCCAAAGTGAGGTAGTCTTTTTGCACTGCCGGTGATGAATTTCCTTTGTGAGTTTGTTTCTAGAGGGCTTTTTGATAAGCAAGAGTCCTTCCTATTGAATATTCTTACCAATGATTAAAACACAAGAATCAGTTAGGGTTGTACTTTCCATAACAAAACATTTCAGCTGTGCGGCTGAAAGCCTTCAGACAGAAAGGATAAATGCTTAGCAGTCTCTAAACCAGTGATCCCAGCATTTCAGAAAGGATGATTAATCACATCTGAAGCTATAGTAACCGGTGAAAGACTTACATGCTTTGAAGAGCTCTTAGGACAGTTATTGGCAAGTCTACTGCCCAGTTTTCAGAGATGCTTGTTCTAAAAGAAGCTGATGAGAATCCTGGTTATGCAGCATTAGACCAGGCAACATCTTTATCATTATAATAATTCTGTTTTTTCTTGCCCATAGGATCAGGCAGCTAAAGATAAAGCCATGCAGAGTATGGCTACAATGTCATCTGCCCAGATTATCTCTGCAACTGCCTTCCATAGTAAAATGGCCTTGCCTGGTCTCCCACGACCAGCCTACCCTGCTGTTTCTGGGGTGAGTCAATCAGTGTCTTGGCCGAGTTGGGCTGAAGACACTTCAGTATTTGAAAGGGCATTGGGACCTGCTTAGGAAAATCCTGATAACATCAGAATGGGCGAAAAGTCACTGTCTTTGTAGAACAAATCTGTCACGTGGCTTCAATAGTTTGGGTCTGATTCTTTAGTCACACTGATATAAAACAATAGTTAGACTATATGGGTTTTTTAAAATGACATAAGTGAGAGAACAATCAGATCCTTTGGGTTTTTCAGCTGTCTGAAATACTTTCAGGTGTCTGTATCACGTTCTTAGTCCAGGATCTTGTTGGATTAAAACTGTTTGGGCCATCCTGACCCTTTCTCAAGTTTATCATTCCCAAACTCATCCTGAGTGCTTAGATTACAAATTGATGGCACTTATATATAAAATCTTTAATGGAGGAGGCCTGTCAGCATCCCCTAACCTTTGAGTTGCGCCTAGTAAGGTTTTGCTGAGCATCAATTTCTGCCAAAATACTCCCATGGACCTCTCCTGGGGAAAATGGTCCTTCCAAGAGAGTAATGAGCATCATTAATGCTTTGGAGACTGAGGCACAAGGTGCATATGTAGCATTTAATGTTAAAACCCACTTGGGTCAGCTGCTTGCATGTCAGTAGTAGTAGTGTTTAGAAAGAAAACAAAGGCCAGACAGCACCTCCACAAAGATGAAACCAGGAAGGTAGAAAGAAGAGGTATAACTCTGTCACATCTTTAGAAGTCAGTGAGCTAGCAGTTTTCTTTCCTCAGGAAGGAACAAGCCTTGCTTTTCATCTCTGTCCTAAAAGTGGTAACTTCTGCCTGTATGTTGTTCTCTTGCAGTTTTGGCAAGGAGCTTTGCCAGGACAAGCTGGATCTTCCCAAGAGTGAGTATTCCTTCATGTGATCATCCAAAGCACACGCTTCTGCTGCTTCCTCTATGCTGCCTGAGGAACATTATTAGCTGTTACAGGATTTACAAAATGCTAAGATAACGTAGTCTTAGCTCTCAGACAGATTCCATGACTGCAGATCTGAGACTTAAGGCACATGGTTGCAGACAAACTGAGAGTTATGAAAGAATCTTAAATAGATAAGACCCTATGTCTTCATATAGTACCTTCAACATGGATTACACCACTTTATTGTGTGCCATGACTCAAGCAGCCTAATATGGGTTTAGGGAGCTGCTGAACCTAGCAGCCTGATACAGGGGAGGCTGCTGCAGCTCCATGCTCCCAAATTCAACCAGTATCGAGGCTGAGTGTGTACCCTCAGTAGACACACACACATTATATACATTGCACATACACACATATATGCATGGCTGGCCCCACAGAACAGCACAGACAGGTAACGCCCAGCACTCACACAGATACAGATGGCACCCACAGCCTCATCCTGTAGCCTCTCCCTCTGGCTGATGAGGGTGAAGTGTTTCAGTGGGAAATACACACGCACTGTGGATCCACCCGGTAGCTGCCCCGGGATCCTTTGTCTCCCTGTGTGCTGGCACCCAGGCAAGGGAGCCCCTGAGGCCACAGCCCCACTCCAGTTGCTGGTGCTGGCCTCTCAGTGACACACACATGCACGTCACAAACACACACACTCTGAATCTCTCCAGTAACTGGGCTTAGATACAGTCCACCCAGTAGCTGGACCTTTACTTTCCCCAGTTTGCCTCTCGCAGGGATGAGAGAGAGAAATAGATAGATAGATAGATAGATAGATAGATAGATAGATAGATAGATAGATAGATAGATAGATTCTCTCTCTCATATCATTCAGTCGATTTCCAGACTCCACAGTTTCTCAGTCATTTAGCCTGAACCTCTTGGTACCTCTGAAAGCATTTTTACCCCTGGAGACCCACACAGATTGCTCCTAAACCATCTACTTGCTGGCTAGTCTGGTTTGATAATCACTAGTAATCACACCCTTGCTGCTGGCACTCCAGAAACAAACACACGCGGAGAACTGAGAGCTCCTCATGCAGTGATTTAGAAATAGAATTTAGTGAGAAGATATGACAGACTGCACTGACAAGGTGCAGGGCATGGACAGACAACTGTACTGATGTTGTTACATGCAACTAGCACCTTTTATTGTCATATTCTCCCTAAACATCCCCATAATAAATCTTGTGCAATCCCAAAATGTTACAGAATGCAAGGGAGGAGCATGTCCCATACCATCTCTGCAGTAACCCCCTCTGTAAGGTGACTGGTCTGTGAGCCTCCCCAGCTGGCTCACTGGGTTGGTTTCACACCTGGACAATGGGGCTGATGGCCCTCCCGGGACAGCCTTGGGAGGGGCAGAAGCTCTGCTCCTCGGAGGCATTACTGCCCCAGGGTGATGGAGATGAGCCTTTGATGGGCTGATCCTTCACTAGTGATGGCCCTGGGTGGTTTTGTGTCAGAGTATTATTCAGGTTGCTCCACCTGCCATTGATCTTCTGTGCTCCTTTGTTTGTATGGAGACACTTTTTATCACATGTTTAACAGGAGCAATTTAAGGCAATTTTAAGGACAAGCAGCCGGAAGGTTGCATGTTCTTCACCCAAGCCATTGTTCCTGCCCTCTTGTGGTGCTATTGCTAATGTTTGTGGAGCAGATCAGGGAACAGATACTATTAAATTATTTTGTGAGAAAAAATGGCTAGTAAAAAATGGCAGCCATCCTAGGAGAAATAAAAAGTAGATTTTATGCCTTTAGCATGAAGGTGAACGAGGCAGATTCAATGTGAGAAGTTCTTTTAGAATCTTGACGTATCTGCTGTCCCTGATGTCAGATGATTTTTCTTACAGTGGTAAGATGGAGCTGAGCTGTCTTGAAAGCTAGGTTCAGCTGTGAGTGTTGAACATCTCTGAATCGGAGCCTGAAAGTTTGAGAGGCATCCAGCCCAGATGTGTAGCCACTTGCATAAATTTACATCTATCCATGGTTGAAGGGAAAGGATAAATGAATGGCCACCAGTGTATTAACAGATAGGGATCTCTGATAAGGATCTCTGAATAACAAGACTGTGGGGAGAGCCTGCTGAACACCTACAGGGAAATTTTATTCAGTCCAGTCCTGACACCTTACTGTTTTTTTAAGCCTTCCTTCATGACCCTCTCTTGCCCACACAGAAAGATAATTTCCCAGAGATACGTATGCCACTTTCTCCCCCAGGAGAAATATTTAATCTAATCTGCACTAACAGTTGGTCAAGAATCTTATTTTGTTTTGATTTGGTTTTTTTGTTAACCATGCCTCTTTGTGTACTTCTGTAGCGTGAAACCTTTTTCTCAACAGCCGTATGCTGTACAACCACCGCTGCCATTACCAGGTAGGTAAGGAAATGTACTGCCTTGCTTTGAAATTATTTTCCAACTTCAGAAATAGCCAATACTTTAAAAACTCTTAAATTAATTTTAAAAAATATTTATACTTATTAAAACATTTATGTGATCCCTAAATTAATTTTATATTATTTCTCCTTATTACCTGTTCCCATCCTTTTACTGAGAGAGCTGAAGCTTTTAATTTTAAATTTTGTTTTAATATAAAAAACAATTTTTTTTCTATTTTAAATTGGTTGGTTTGGGGTTTCTTTTCCTCCTGGCTTAGCAGAAAATAAAAGTTTATGTATCTCTACTGTTCTTTCGCCATGCTGCATGTACTAGAGCACTGTTTTTCATCATAACATGATTGTCTTTCCAATTTTTCATTAAGTGGAACAACAAATATATTTCTTTCTCAGTTTCCCCATTTTGAGAGGTTAGTGGTCATATTAAGGGTGATGCTTCATTCTGATACTAAAATAGTTTATTTCATTGTTCATTTAGGGCTCAATTTAGGTCCTCCTAAAGTTGCTGAATGTATTTTCTCTAGTGTCAAAACCAGGCAGATTGTCTTTTACACCATTACCAACCCTGACAATGCTGTCTTAGTAGAGAGTAACTGACAAGCCACTCTAAACACAAGTAGAGTGAGGACCTTATGAATGACATTTTTGCATGATGGCTGAAGTCATAAGAAAATGTAATTGATCAGCTTTGACAACAGGTGCTCTATTGGAAAACTATTAACAACTTTTATCTTTCTAAATTCTGTTATATAAATCCTGTGTGTTTAGGGTTTGAGTCTCCCACTGGCCTTGCGCCTTCCCCATCAGCACCAGCTTGGCAAGGACGAAGGGTTGCTAGCTCCAAACTCTGGATGTTAGAATTCTCTGCATTCTTGGAACAACAACAAGACCAAGACACAGTAAGATACACACCTGACTTTCACCCCTCATTAATTTTTGGTCTTCAGGTAGCTCCTGTTCATTGTGGATATGTTATACTACTGTACATGTATGGAAATACTTGCTTCACCACTCTACTGAGAATAGAAAGCCATCTTTGGAAAACACAAGATACCCTTCATTTAGAGGATAGAATTGCCTATAGTGATATAGCCAGCTCTGTGCCATGTGCTTCTGGCCTCCCTTTTGAGGGTCATGGGTGTTCACATATCAAAGCTCAAAGCACTGAGGTCATAAGACAGTGGTACAGCCCCTGCCGGGCTATTCTAGCTGTCTCATTCAGCCTTGGAGGACAGACTGAGAATCAGATGATCACATGAAACCACTCTGGTGTGTCGGGAATCTAAATTTGGGGGCAACTGGGATGAATTTGCATCAATGTGTTTCCATGGTGCCACCTCTAAAATGGAAGCAGTAAGATATGCCTGTCTCACTAAACCTTGTGATACTGCATCTTGAGATGTACATTGGTGATGGACCACGTCCTCTGTCTGAGATAGGAAAGTTCAGAAAATTTGGCTGGTACCTTACCGTGGGATTTCAGGCAGCTCTTCACAGGACAGGCGCATTGATGTTTGACTGAGTGACCTGTGATAGGTCACAGTCTGTATCTCAGGTTATTTCAGACTTTATAGCAGCAGCATGAGGCAATGGTTTAGGAGTGAATATAGGAAAAAGCCCAAAAATCATGTTTCAGAAGAAGCAAGAAGCATGGATGTATTGATAGGATAAAAAGAACAGCATGAGCTGGTATTAGCAAAGATATTTCTGCTAATACTTTTGGTCTTTTAGAAAGTGCTATCTTCAGTGACTTCCAGTAGTCTTCTGTGAAGAACCATAAATGTTCAGTATGTACTGAATGGTACTGAACAATTTCCTAATTCCATCTTTTTCCTCTTCTTGCAGTATAACAAACACCTGTTTGTGCACATTGGGCAGTCAAGCCCCAGCTACAGTGACCCCTACCTCGAGGCAGTGGATATCCGGCAGATCTATGACAAGTTCCCTGAGAAAAAAGGGGGCCTGAAGGAGCTCTTTGAAAGGGGGCCAGCTAATGCCTTCTTCCTTGTCAAATTCTGGGTAAGGGAAGGACCCTTTGTAGGGTGCCCATTTGCTATGAAGTTCTCACTTTAAAAGTGGTGGCCTCTCTAGCTGTTAGGAGACTGCCGCCTCCCAACAAATTTTCCCTCTGCAGGCAACTTCATACAGCCACGACTGTCACTGGAGATCTTTCCTTGACTAGACAAGGCATTCATTCTGTCCTGGAGCAAGATGTATCTTTCTCAGTGTCATCTGCAGAGTTTTCTTGACTAGTGTCAGGAGGTATTATTTGCTAATGGGACTTGGAACCCTTTAAAATTTTAATTTTCATATGAAAGAAGATTTCAGAGGAAATTATTCTCTGTGTACTCATATGTGTTCATTTCTCTCAGTGTTGAGTAACTTCTCAGAGACAACATTTTTTCGTCTTTTTCTCCTATGTCATTAGCTGCAGTTTGTGTAATCCAACTACTAATAAGTCACAGATGCATATTTACTGTAGGCACAAGGACAGACAAAAGATAAGAGAGACATAATGAAATTGGATTATGCTGATAATATATTACTGAAATGACTTCTGGTAAGTTGGCAGCAATCAGTTGGGCAAAAGCCTACTCACTCAATTTGGATTTTTGTGAGTTAGCTGAAATTTGCAAAAGCTGTGCCATTGTGCTGCAGGGTACAAACAAAATAGTTTTGGTCATGGATATTATCATAGGTATTACAAGATTAAAAATAATAGCAGCTTGGGGCAGTTGTATGCTAGATGGCTGCGGGAATGTGTAATGGGATTTGGAGCCTTTCACCTTGAGTTTACTGCTTATAATTCAACCCCAGGTCAGGAGTGAGATGATGAGAAATGAACTCTCATATCTCATACTCTTCATAGAAACTAGATAGACTCTTAACTGGGCCTTTCAGGAGAAGGAAGAGTTAAGTGCCTTGAGATGCAACTTCCCAGCTGTCACAAGCCTAACCTTTCCAGAATTGACTTGGAGAATGTTGGTGGGGAGTCTGCTGTTCAAGTGTCTGGTGTTCAGGGTGTTAGTTGCTGGTGTTTCTTGGAGATACATCATTTTACTACCCACAGACTGTGTGCTACTGAGCTGGGCCCCTCATGGGATTAGCCTCTGTTAGAGTACAGCAAAGCCTGCTTGGGAAGGTCAAAACAAAGAGTAAAAAGACCGGCCCTGTTCTGGGTGGAAGAGAAATACTTGGGAGAAACAGCAGCACCTTGCTGAGAAGTGTATCATTTGACAAAACCTGGGTAGTGATGATTGTCCTACTAAGAACTGTCTAGGAAAGGAAACAGAAGTCTGATGTGACAAAAGAAAGGAAGGAAAAAGAGTAAGAGGGGGTAGCTTCTAAGAAATGGTCCTTGGAGGAGTAGGAGCTGCAAGAGCTGCTTCCTGCTGTGGGATAGGGATGCCAGGAAACTTCATGTCAAGGTGAAGAGCATTGGCTGCTGTGTGGTATCCCTCTGCAGTGCTTTAGAAATTTTGGGAACAAAAAGGAAGAGCTTGGAGGGACATGTTATATAGAGAGAAGAAATCACTTTGAATTCCTTGACTTAAGGAGAGAGAAATCATAATGAAATTGTGATCTAGTGCAACTGTGATTTTATTTATCAAAACTGTTAGTGTGCTTGTGGGGTTGGGTTTGAGGATTGTGTTTGGGTTTTAATATTAGAAGGATAAATGTGGCCTATGCATCATGTCAGACCAACCTCAGTTAGGGTTTTGAAGGATTTATGTGGTAGGATGTCATTAAGCTGGGCCCACACGAGGTGTCTGGTGTTCGGAGGGTATCAGCTCACAGAAACTTGTCTTGCGTAAAGAGGTGTGACACAGGATTTGAAGCACCTTTACTTCAGTGTATACATGATGTCCTGGGACCCTGCATCTGTACACTTATAATGACCATGATATTTCTGGGCTTGGATTAATATTTTGACTTTCTGATTCTTTTTTTGATGCTCTTGCATTGCTGGCTCCCATCTAGAGTTTTTTTGGTGGAAACGCTACAGGCTGTCATCTACAAATAAGCTAAATTTACAAGTCAAGTAATTGAATGGAAGCTTCTAAGGCTTTTTAAGAAGTAAATCACTTCAGTCTGGTATTTGTTTCTCAGTGTAGACAGTAGTAGGGGATGAAAACACCATTCCTGATGCCATATTCTGGATGAGAAAGTTTTGGGACACTTTTATGATTTGCTGTGTTTCACAAGAGTGCTTACATTAATCCTGTTGTCAGATTTCAGATAGGATCTCTTAAGACAATATAACCAAAGCAGTTAAAAAAACCTCTTTTGCTCCAGAAAGTTTGAACTTTTTGGAGGAGAACTCAAACCTTTTTGTTGCAAAACTTTGTATTCAACATGCCTGAAATATTGTGGTAATGCAGCCTTATATGTAAGCAAAGCGTATGAGACATGCCTGTAATGCAACATGCTACATGTGTGAATTTGATGTGCTGAAATAATTGCGTGTAGTGCAACCCCCTCGCTAATAAACACTCTTCACAGATAAGGCAATATGATTTAAAACAGAAGAAAACTAGATTTCAGCTGAGATTTTTATACCCCTCTGCAATTTTATACTTCTGTAACAGTATATGCTAGGGTGCCTTTTCATTTTGTTCAGAGCCTGATTGATCTGGACAGCTATACAAATATGCTGTCGATGTCCAGAGATGTGCTGGATAAAGCAGTTACTACACTGTTGCATTTATAGCATCATTTTAGGATAAAAGTATTATCCAAAAACAAATTACCAATAACCTTAAACTTGCTGAGTAGAGTTAAATACTTGAAGGAGTGTTTTGAAACATGAAAGTATGAGTGATTTTTCAAGGGTTCTGAATTGAAGTGGTGCTTGCAGGTGACAAAAGACATAAAAAAATCAAGATATTGAATAAGTTAGTTTTGTATCCATGTAGTTTTCGGCTTGAAGAACTTGGGGCAGGAACCTGCATTACTGCAGTAAACATTGAATATACCAGATGATCTGTTGTGCACCAGAAGCCTAATGCCACAACTAGGGTTGGGGTTTCTTGACATCGCTGATAGCACTTAGGATCTAGCGTGACTGAGAGATGTTAATATTTGTTCAATGGTGCTTTAAATTATTTATACAATAGCTAAGAGTCAAAAGTTGATTAGATTGAAACATAAGCAGTGTTTGCAATTCTTCCTTGATTTTGGCACTGGGAGTTTGGTACAATGAATTAATTCTTGGACTTGGATTGGCAGGTTGTGTATGACATCTGTGTGACATTTCTCTGTGCTCCAAGTGTGTTCTAGCACACGACAATGAATGTGAGACATCAGCCTCCCAACACATGGGCAGTTGCAGCTCTGCTCTTTTCCAGTGCAATATTATCTCTACCACCTGTTACTTGGTTCTCCCCATGAACTCCTGTATGCATCGTTATTAATAGTTTGGGGAAGAGGCGTTTTCAGGGCTTTGCACGTTAGTAGAATGGTGCACTTGCATCTTAAAGCTTTCAGAAGTTGTGAGACTCTGGGTGGAAGACAGAAGGAAAATGACAAACCGGGAATTCAGGAGAGGCAGTACTTTGTCCAGAGCAGCCATCTGCAGCGGGGTGGATCAGGAGAATTGCTTGGGAGACCTTTTCTGCCAACGATGAATATTTGTAGTAATTTCTTCTCGATAACAGGCAAGCTGAACCAGTCAAATCACTGTTTTCTTTCTGGTAAATTAATTATACTTTTGTGGAAGGGGCTTAAGGGGTGGGGTGGAGACTGCTGTCCTGCACTTTGCTTCTCTTCTGTCCCAGGCAAATCCAGTCAAAACAGCAGCAGTGCAAGTTCCCCTCAGCACCCTGCCCTGCCCATGTATGCCTTCAATCCTGACCTGGCAGAAACTGCTTGGAGAGCAAGGAGATGGTAATTTGGTCTCCATGTCCATTCTGTCCTTGGCACTCCTGAGGCAGCAAACAAGACAGAAGCTAGCAAGAGAGATTTTTGATCTTTGCACATTTTTTCTGAGACTCGATCTGACAGCCCATTAGTTTCACCTGCACTCACCAGCACCACCTCCTACCAGTTATTACCTTATGTAAGGGGACTCTGTCAATGGCACTTCTTTTATTGAAGTTATTCCCCACAGTATAGGTTGTTGCCAGCAAAAAAGCAGACTCAGAGACTGAATTGCGGAGGGAATCTGTCTGCTGCCTGTCAAAATAACACATTGCTGTGGGGCTAGCTAAGTTGCAGCTACCCGCACTGTTTGCAAGGCCTTTTGCTTTCTATCTTTGGCTACCTCAGAAACTTTCCCCTTCCCCCTTTCTTGGAGGCTGAAGCTGCAGTGGCACAAGTTTTGGACTGTTCTTAAACAATTGTACAGCACATTCTTTTTCACTGACCACATGGGACCTGTGTGCAAGATATCGACAAGCTATGGTTTCTCACAGCATTTAATGTCATTTGGACTCTTGTCTAATCGTTGCTTTTCAAGCCTCAGATAAGCTGAAGACTTAATTCTCAAAGGTCACATTTCCTTCTGTGAAGAGTTTCAGAGAAATTCTGATTCACAGCCTCATCCTAGTGGGAATGAGGCCTTTCTCAGTAGTCAGTTGTGAAACTCACTCCCACCAAAGATCAGACAAAAATCTTGGCTTAGTATATAGTTAGGACAGTGCACAATGCCAGCTTTTCTCTAAGTGTTTCTTTCTTGGGGCTGCAGAATTTGAGTCGTACATTCAAGCTCATCAGAGCTGTTTTCAGCAGAGCTGCTAACTCAGACCACCAATATGATTTTCTTTAAAACAAAAACAAACAAACAAAAAAAACCCACAAAAAAAAAAAAAAAAACCAAACAAAAAACCCACAAAAAAACAGAAAAAATACTAGCTTGTTGAGGTTTACTATGCTCTTCCCTGGAAGAGCATCCCTTCTCTTCCATCTAGAAATCTTGTCTTGTAGGTATTTAAAAATTCTGCTTACTTCTCTGGAAAGGAGGAATTCTCAGCTGTTTTCCCCAAAACAGTCAGATCAGCTCTCTTGCATACAATATGTAG